GTATCATAGTTTGAAGACATTTCTGTTGAAAACGTGTCAGAGTTAAATCGCATTCATATACATGCACAGTGCGTAACTGGAGTGCAGGTAATAGTTCCCAACACTCCAGAGCATGCCATTGATGTACTCATTCCTTTTTTTTTTTTTTGGGGGGGGGGGGGGGGGTGCTTTTTGTGGAATAACGATAGAAATGCCACATATAGAAGCTGGTTTCATAGGTTTTTTTCTGGGTTTCATATTGTTACAACGGAACGTGCATTCAATTTTGCCTATGGTATGAATATGATGTAATTGTGTGTGGAACGTGTATGTACGATCCTATCAAGAATAGCCTAAACGTCGCTCATTACATACACAGATGCCCGTTTGTGCCAGAAACAATTTTTGCAAAGGGGGCACATGAGTTCTTACTCCACCAGTAAAACTGAAGAGTCGCCAAAATGACCTACACAGTTTTGTGTTACGTAACCCCCACTTCATTCCAAAAACAAACAATCAAATCAAATGAGACATGTCATTAACTGTATTTGATTTAAATACGTTATAGATAGCGTTAAATATTATACATTTATTAGTGTGATTACACTGTGGTCGTTATAGTATAAATATCACCGATGCATTATGTTTGCCTTAGAATATTGAAATTGAAACTGAAATGTCAATGAAAATAATTGTACATGTATATTATATCTTTCCGTTTTGTCTAGAAAATGTCCGCTTCGCTGGCGTTTGATTTTTCAAGACAACGAAATTGCTACCTTGATTATCTTTTATACAGTTTTTCTTCGTTATACTCAAGTTATATAAACATGATAGGTTACAGTGTTGAGAAAAAATCAATAGACTTTTTTACCCCCCGTTTACTCTGTTGTTCCAAAAATGTCCGTTGCGTATTTTAGTCATACCCGATGAATTGTGGGTAACTTCTGTACATGCCTGGAAAAACCAACTTTCATTTTTGCATCAAAAGCTAATGTGAAAATGCATTTTCTAGCATACTTGTTGTTAGAGGGTTGGTTAAAGTGTAAGTTATTGTTATTTTAGTTATAATATTGTGATTTGTGAGGAAATATGTTTACATTTTTTTTGGACACCAAATTACCTGTCAGACCTCAGTGTAGCCCCTTTAACAAGATCATAGTGTCAAACACCATAAATCATACTCTTTATACATTAAGATTTTTGTGCTGGATGTCATTCATCTTCTTCAGGAAAGTACATTTGACTATTTTCAGTGGCTTATATTAAACTAATATTTCACTGTAACTGTGTGTTCTCTGATATCATTCTCAAATTAAGGAACTGGAAGATGGTAGTTGCAATAAAGGTCTTCATGGACAAATCCTCCTTCATCTTTTCCCTTTTTATCTGCAGAATGAAAAATCAATAAATATGTTGTTACAAGTGTAAGACACTAGAAATGATATTTACATTACATTTAATAAGCTGGTCATGATTGACAGAAAAATTTCATATTTGAAGTAAATAAACATTAAAGATAAACAACAACACATAATATATAACAGTCAAAAATATTGATCTTCTTGAATGTGATACATGACTATTTTTAATGTTTTATTTACTTATCAATTATCATGCAGTGAAATACAAAAGTTATTAAATTATAATAATATATTTTGATAATTGTTTATCTTTCCGATCTCAACTAAAAATTAATCAATTATTTTACATGTATTTACCTTTGATGTATAGATATTTCAGGATCATAGGCAGTGCAAACAGTTGATTAATGGTCCATATTGAACAACTGTATATTCTGTACTTGTCATATATCTCCTTGTCTATACATCTGAAATGGTTTAATCAAATATTATAGTTTTTAATTCAATCATTATTTGCTAGGAACCATATTAACATGTATATATAATTGAAAAAGGAACAAGAATAAAATGGAAAGGGAAAAATATCCGAATTACTGTGCAATGTCCGAATTTCGTATTATTAATATACACTAGAATTAAAGTGTTTTCCATTGTTCATTTAAATAAGTTAAAATGGTTTGAATAAATTTCTCACATCAGTAGTTTTAAAACATTACTAAAAGCTAAACAACTAGAATTCACTACCTTGACAAAACATCCGAAACAACTGTCACTATCCGAAAATAAACTAGTTTTATTAAACTCTATAAATCCCTCGTTTTTCCGTCAGATAATTGACCTACCTGCATTTTTTGACCCGTGCTATCCATTCCTTCAAATCTGAAGAGGACCGAAACAAATATAACTTCTATATCCCTCGAGTTCTTCGGGTTACCTATATGCGTAACGGTAAATAAGTCTGCCGATGTACCCGGAAGTGGTAAATTGAAAGTGAAAGTAAACGAGACTTACGGGCCCTATTCCTGAACTGGATTTAGGTATAGAAGAGGCTGATGTTCGTATCATTCCACACGCATTACATGCAACCCTGCAATGCGGGAAACGCTGTGTTCTCCTCTCCAACGACACCGATGTGATGGTTTTAGGACTGCATTTTTACGATAAGCTAAAGTCAAATGGCTTACATGACTTGTGGATACGGGCAGGCACAGGCAATTCTACCTGCTTCATACCTCTGCACCAAATTGCCATTGGGGAACCACAATTATGTGATGTTCTTTTAGCAGCACATATATTAACAGGATGTGATATGACCAGTAAAGTTGGTACAACACTCTCTGCCATCAAAGCAAAACCTGAATTATACTTAACTGACTTTGGTAAAAGTCTTGAAATTAAGCATAGAGAAAATGCAATTTTGAATGCAGAACAATATCTTGTCAATGTCTTAAGGCAAAATACTACATGTACAACAATGGATGAATTGAGATTTTATATTTACCATACAGGTAAAGCAATTAATCAGTCTGATCTGCCTCCAACCAGCACTGCTATTCGAAGCCACATTTTAAGAAGTTTGTTTGCTTATTTTATGCAGACAAATTGTCTCAATGAATTTAATATCAATCCAAGAGAGTTTGGCTTTGAAGAGATAAATGGTTGTTTAATGCCAAGTGTTAATGTCACCTATCCCAAGAAGTCTTGTGCAAGTATGTAACTGTAAATTATGCACAACAAAGAGGTGCTCATGTAGAAAAGCTGGCATTCAATGCTGTATTAATTGTGTGTGCAAAAGCAACAACTGCAATACACAGTGCAAAAACCCTAATGTCATTCTGAAAGTACCAATTGTTATGTAATTTGTTGCAACAAGAGTTGTAATCTTTCACATAAGAACTCATTGTTAAATAATTTGTTGATACATTAGGTTTTATTGTTCTGTAATTTGTGATGACAATTTATTCAGACAAATGTTCTGTAAATTGTTGTGACATAGAAAAAATATGCGTAATGTGTTATCATATCAGAACTAATTGTTCTGTAATGTGTTGTGACATAAGATACAATACAATTGTTGTGCAATTTGGTATGCATACAATTGTTCAGTAATTTGCTGTTGCATTAAAATTAAGAAGTATCTTGTTAGATATAAGATGCAATTGTTCTGTTATTATCCCTCGCCGAAAGGCGGCGGGGGATATAGAAATAGTCTCCGTCCGTCCGTCCTTCCGTCCGTCCTTCCGTCCGACATTTTTGTCCGGAGCATATCTCAAAAAGTGTTTGAGGTATCAACTTGAAACTTCATAGGTGGATAGATCTCATTGAGGAGGAGTGCAGTGCACAAGAATGATAACTCTACCCTGCATAATTTTTGAGTTATTGCCCTTTGTTATTTTTCAAACTTAATTTTTGTCCAGAGCATAACTCAAAAAGCTTATGAGATATCAACATGAAACTTCATAGGTGGATAGATCTCACTCAGGAGGTGTGCAGTGCACAAGAATGATAACTCTACCTTTCATATTTTTTGAGTTATTGCCCTTTTGTTATTTTTCATACTTAATTTTTCATCTGAGTGACCCATAACTCAGAAAGTCTTTGAGATGTTAACATGAAACTTCATAGGTGGATAGATCTTATTGAGGGGAATGCTGAGCACAAGAAAGATAACTCTTCCCATTATGATTTTTGAGTTATTGCCCTTTGTTATTTTTCATACTTTTGTCCGGAGCATATCTCAAAAGGTATTTGAGGTATCAACTTGAAACTTCATAGGTGGATAGATCTCATTGAGGAGGAGTGCAGCACACAAGAATGATAACTCTACCCTGCATAATTTTTGAGTTATTGCCCTTTGTTATTTTTCAAACTTAATTTTTGTCCAGAGTATAACTCAAAATGCTTATGAGATATCAACATGAAACTTCATAGGTGGATAGATCTCACTCAGGAGGTGTGCAGTGCACAAGAATGATAACTCTACCTTTTATAATTTTTGAGTTATTGTTCTTTGTTATTTTTCATACTTAATTTTTCATCTGAGTGGAGCATAAGAGATGTCAACATATAACTTCATAGGTGGATAGATCTGTGCACAAGGACGATAACTCTTCCCATTATAATCTTTGAGTTAATGCCCTTTGGAGGAGTGCAGCACACAAGAATGATAACTCTACCCTGCATAATTTTTCAATTATTGCCCTTTGTTATTTTTCATGCTTAATTTTTGTCCAGAGCATAACTAAAACAGCCTTTGAGATACCAATTTAATCGGTGGATAGATCTAATTGAGGAGGAGCGCAGCACACAAGAATGATAACTTACCCTGCATTATTTTTCAGTTATTGCCCTTTGTTATGTTCAGCTATCAGTATTCAAATAGGTTTCAAATCTGTAATCACTTCAGCCATCAATTTTCATTACCAAAAGACCTCTTAAAATTGAATTATTCTGCTCTACTACTTATATATTCTTCCAATGAGCAAACACATTCGGCGAGGGATGGCCATGTTGACATGGCTCTTGTTTGTTTTAGAAATAGACCCATTTGTTTTGAAATTAATTTTGGCATTATGATGAGATCAAATTGTTTTGTTAAAGTTACAACCACAGCTGTGCAATGCAATCATCTTTACGCCCAGTTGTTATTAATCTTATTGTACCATTATATCTAATTCTTCTGTTGATTTTTATTGTTGATGGTTGAATAATTACATCCAATTGTTCTGTAATTGAAAATATTTTAGACACATTTTGTTCAGTACTTTAAGTATATTGTAAGGAAAGGTTGATGAGGATATTAATGCGCTAAATGAATATGTACTTGTATGTTAACATTGATTGATTATGTACAATTTGTTGCTGCTAACTTTTTGTGATATAAATTGCATACACTGTGAAACAAAATGTCATACAATATGTGAATTTGTACAATATTGCTGTTAATTACTTATTATTTTATCATATGACAATATTATACTTTATGTTGTTAAACTTTACCTCGAGATTTTATTTGAAAGTTTACTTGTTTTATCAGTTACAATGTGTATCATGGAGGTAAATTTTTGTACAATTATACAATGGATTTTTGTTTGACACTAGTATAAAGAAAGATGCAAATACAACATTTAATTGCAAAAACTGTTATGTATACGGGATATATATTGTTACATGTTCATCTATAGCAACCTAGTTTATAAATCTAATACTGGTATCAGTAAACAGCAATGCTCTATAAAAAATCTGTTTAAATTATTTGATTTAATAAAATGTACTTGACTATACTATTGATAGATCCCTACTCTGACATTTCTTTTGAAACAACAAACATTGGCATGTGCTCTTTTGTTTACAAATATGTTGTGGTGAAATTCTTGTTGTATCCACTAATCTGATAATTAGAATTGGACAGGCAGGGATCTATGCATTGACAAAATTCTAAAAATTTGTGGAATCAATTCATCAGTAGAAATCAATTCATATCTATCAAATAAAAAAGTCTTTGCAAAACTCCTTTTTTTTCTTTTAGTTACCATGAAAAAAGTGTAAAAATTTTCCAGTTAATTTTTCTTAAATTTGTCAAATTTTTATGATCATG